GGGACCCACTCCAAATGAAGTTAAAAATTTTAGAAATAACAGATGATCCAGAACCATAATTAAATTCCAATCCTAGATTAGGTAGATTAGCTTATTAAATAATAATATTAAAATTTAAGTTTATTAACATGTTTTATAATTTAATAAAAATTACACATTAATTAGGATATTTTAAGTTTTCGATAGAAATTATATAAAGTTATATATCTACCTATGAGATTGGTCAAAATGGTGATTTATTTTCCCCTCAAATAAATTAAAAGGGAAAAAGAAAAAAGAACAAAATTTATGAATTTGTAGAAAAAAAGAAACAATAATAATAATAATAAAAATAAATCTCTCTGTCCTTCTATCTCTTTCCCCATAAAATGACTTCCACTGCCCGTCTTCCCTACCTTTGTCTCTCTCTCTCTAATTTCATCTCAAAGCCAAACCCAACGGCATAGTATTCCACTCTCTTTCTCTCAATTTCTTTACCCTTTCTTCTTATAATCACAAACCCACAATTTCTTTTTCCCCGGATTTGCGTTGTTTGATCAGGGGTTTCGTTAATTGTTTCTTGGAAGATTCTGGGGTTGAATTTCCCCCTAATTCTCGGTGCCCCCTTTTGTTGTTTTTCTGTTGGGGGTTCAATAGGATCAGGTTCTTTTCTTCTCTTGCATTAACCGATGGTAGTGAAAATGATGAAGTGGCGGCCATGGCCGCCGCTTGTTTCGAGGAAGTATGAGGTGAGGCTTGCGGTGAAGAGACTCGAAGGGCTTGACCCGCCGCGAGATGGAAAGGGGGTTGATAAATTGACGGTCGAGGTCAAATGGAAGGGCCCGAAAATGGCTTTGAGTCCATTGAGGAGAACGGCGGTGAAGAGAAATTACACCAAGGAGGCCGATGGGTTGGATCAGGACGGCGTCGCTCAGTGGGATGAAGAGTTTCAGAGCGTTTGTACTTTCTCTGCTTACAAGGAGAATGTGTTTCATCCATGGGAGATCGTTTTCTCTGCCTTCAATGTGAGTTTGCGTCTGAGTTTGGGTCTTTTTGTTGTTTGTTGTCCTCGATTCAATCTTTGCCTACTTTTTGTGGTTCACGGCATTGGGTTTTTCTTGATTTTGACTATTCATCTTTTAGCTTTTCCTATCAGACTGGTTTTTCCTTTTCTTGCGATTATAATTTTCACTTTTTGGGTATTTTCTTCCTTAAGATTTGTACTGAATGGAAGCAATAATGGGTGATCTTTCGCCATTTCAGATAGTTTGCGAGCTCTCACTTCTTTTATGTAGAATTCTAATCTTTTCTATGGTCTTTGAAGAGGCTTTAGCTGAGAGTCTGAAACTAAGATATGGTTCTTTCTAAAGGGCAGTTCAATTCATCAAGGGAGTTGACCTTTGTAACTTCTGATTTTGTGAGTTTCTGGATTTTGTTTCTTTGTACTATTTTGAATGTTTTATGCTGAAAATGAGGCAAGTAGTGGGTTTCTAGTAGATTTGCAGGATCTTATGGATGAAAATGTTTCTTTGCTATTGTTGTTTGATTTTGTCCTTGACATGAGAGTTATATGGATGAACTTGATGAATTCCCATTCTCTGTCTTTGCTGTGAGTAATTATCAGTAATGGTCGATAGTGAACTTGAACTTGAACCTGAACCCTCGTTTTCTTTCCCTCCCTACTCAGGGCTTAAATCGAGGGTCGAAAAACAAAGTTCAGGTTGTTGGATCAGCATCTCTTAATCTGTCTGAATATGTTTCTGTGGCTGAACAAAAAGAGCTCCAATTGACGATACCCCTTAATCCATCCACAAATGCTACTGAGACCAGTCATGTTCTCTGGGTTTGTATCCTCCTGTTTCCTCTAAATATTTAATGCTATTTCCCCCCACTCAAATTGTTGTTATCTCACATGCTTTTTTCTTATGGTGGATCGTACAGATATCGCTGAACTTATTGGAGCTAAGAACTGCTCAAGTTGTATCACAGCCTGTACAGAGATCGGTAGCCCCGGCTCCATCTCCCCCGTGGTCAGGAGATATTGTCCCAGCAGAAAAAGATGAGCTCTCTGCTCTTAAAGCTGGCCTCAGGAAAGTAAAGATTTTTACGGAGTTTGTGTCGACCCGAAAGGCAAAAAAGGCTTGCCATGAAGAAGAGGGCAGTGAGGGGAGGTGTTCTGCCAAGAGTGAGGATGGTGAGTCTTGCTACCCGTTCGACTCTGATTCATTTGATGACATTGAGGAAGGGGAAACAGATGAAGGGAAGGAGGATACTAACATAAGGAAGTCCTTTAGTTATGGCACTCTGGCCTATGCAAATTATGCTGGAGGATCACATTACTCTGATATGAAGATCAATGGCGGTGACGAAAATTTAGTTTACTATAGTAATCGAAAATCAGATGTGGGCTGCTCGAGCATGGAGGATTCAACTGCATCAGCCTCTGAGCAACCTTTGCCACAGAGTTCAAAGCGTGGCCTGTTGCCATGGAGGAAGAGAAAACTAAGTTTTAGATCTCCCAAGGCAAAAGGAGAGCCATTGTTGAAGAAGGCCTATGGCGAAGAAGGTGGTGACGACATTGATCATGATCGAAGGCAGCTCAGCTCTGATGAATCTCTTAGTCATGGGGTAAGATTTCTGCAATCATATACAGATTATGTACGTGTCGTTTTAGTTAATGATAATGAGGAATGTCCACCAAGCTTTTACTCGATATCTCGATATTCTGTTTCTTTTCTACAATTCTTGCTAAGTTAAAGTTGGTTATTGCAGTGGCAAAAGACAGAGGAGGATTCAACTGCGAATCGATCATCGGTTTCTGAATTTGGGGATGATAATTTTGCAATTGGCACTTGGGAGCAAAAGGAAATTGTAAGCCGTGATGGACATATGAAGCTACAAACACAGGTCTTCTTTGCTTCTATTGATCAACGTAGCGAGCGGGCAGCGGGTGAAAGTGCATGCACTGCTCTTGTAGCTGTTATTGCTGATTGGTTCCACAACAGCCAAAATCTCATGCCTATAAAATCTCAATTTGATAGTTTGATCAGAGATGGCTCGTTAGAATGGAGGAAACTCTGTGAAAATGAAATATATCGGGAACGATTCCCCGACAAGCATTTTGATCTAGATACGGTCATTCAAGCCAAAATCCGACCGCTTTCTGTGGTTCAGAGGAAGTCCTTCATTGGCTTTTTCCATCCAGAAGGAATAAATGAGGCGAGATTTGAATTTTTGCATGGTGCCATGTCCTTTGATAACATATGGGATGAGATTAGCCGTACTGTGACAGATTGCCCAGACGACAGTGAACCACAGGTTTATGTTGTCAGTTGGAACGACCATTTCTTTATTCTTAAGGTCGAATCTGACGCGTACTATATCATCGACACGTTAGGGGAGAGGCTCTATGAAGGATGCAATCAGGCCTACATCTTGAAATTTGACAACAACACTACAATCTGTAAAATGCCCGACACTAGCCAGTCAGCTGGCGAAAAGACTTCTAACGATCAGCAGACTGTTGCAGAAATAGTTGAGGCCAAGGACCAACAGGCCAGTGGAAAGGAAGAGAGCTTGACACTAGAGAACGTAGCCTCACAGCCTGAAGAACCAATGAAGGAGAAAGATGAAGTCTTGTGTCGCGGGAAGGAATCCTGTAAAGAATACATCAAGAGCTTCTTGGCTGCTATCCCCATTCGGGAACTGCAAGCCGATATCAAAAAGGGTCTAATGGCGTCAACCCCACTTCACCACCGACTACAGATCGAACTGAACTACACCCAGATTTTGCAACCTTCACCTGACTCCTCTCACGCCTCAAAAGATCCGATCTCTATGCCACAAAGTCCCGATGCCACACTACTAGCAGACATTGTTGCTACATCATAGGCTTTAAATGTAAATTGTAGAATTGTCGGTTAATCTAACTAGTTTTCTTTTTGCAAGTGATTGAGAGCTTAACAAAGAGGAGGGAATGGACATGCAGTATAGTATAGGTATGCCAGCAGTAGCAGCAGCAATGTCAAGAGCAACTGTCTGTGTTTTTTGCTTGCTTTTTGGTATCTAATCTCCCTATAATTTGTCTGATCATCTTCCATGGACATAGACCGTACATTTGGACATAAATGAGTAATCTTCCTGTGAATTATCACATCAGCTCTCTTGCTCCTGCTTTCCTTTTCTGGTTTCAATTCCCTGTTCATGATGTGGTTGAGGATGAGATATTATGCTCTGTTGATTTGTGGTTCATAAGTTTATCACACTTGTTTGTTGCTCCATTATCATTTGTGGTGTCCTATCAGCAGAGCTGGTAAAGGCCGGTGGAGGCTATGCTGAGGTGTTGGGCTTTTCTAGTGCATTATCAAACCATCTTTAGCCTCTCCAACTTGTTTTAGTTCTATTTTTCTCTCACCACAATTATTATGCTTCTCCAAATGACAGGGAATAATCATAGTGGGAGGCAATGTTTAGCAGCAGTTCTCAAACAGTTCCCTATTTTTGTTTTAATATCACGTTTCAAATCAAACTCATAATCTTATATCCATTCATTTCTCATACTCATTTTGACATAAACGGAGATTGATATCAAACTCATAATGTAATATCAGTTCTTTCTTCATCAGTGGCTAATAGGGTTGGTAATTGAACTTTTAATCCATTTGACCTGCAAGATTGATGGTACTTTTTCCCCATTCCCCAGTTTTCTTTTTTCTTGCCAATCTAAAGGGGAGAGGAGGGTAAAAGAAAGAAAGGAAAACAATGAAAAAAAAAGCTGTCTTTTTCCCTTTTAACATAAAGTTCTTGTAATCCCAACACTTTTCTTCCCAACTTTTGATATCAATCAATCAATGGCTTTTTCTAGGCTTTTATAAAAGCAGCCATGTGCTGTCTTCCTCTGCCCATCATCATTCTCAATCAGTTTGATACAAATATACAATTATTTGGATGATCCTGTTTTTGCTGCTATTTGAAATTCTCCATTGAAACATCCACAAGTAAGTTGGAGGAAAAGAAAGTTAAAAAAATGTGGCTTTGGTAGCTAGAAATTCTATGTTTACATATGGTATACTAGGAAAGTAGATAGCTAAGAACTACATAAACACTACAATTCAGTCGAGAATTTGAACAAAGCACGGCCAGCGAGTTCTAAAAGCTAGCTAATGAACGGAAAATTCTAAGAGAGAAGATATGGACTTACATAGAAGTAGACAGTGAGTGATGTTACATGGGGAAGATTATAGTGTTTTCAGCAGCAAATGGGGCATTTGGCTAACCCATTCTCATTGCAATCAGTGCATCTATTATACCACGAGTTGTTGTGGTCGTCGTCTTCTTTAAGAACCTTGCGACTGCCATTGCAGCATGGGCACACCAGAAACCTGGTGTTTGCACAGCAAGAGCAAGATGAATTTGCCAAGTCCAGTGGTATGCCTTCCAGCAGTTTCCTTAGTTTTCCTTGCTCATGCAGGCCTACCACTTCATCCGCTCCTCCAATGTACCTTCCCTTAATAAAAAGCCGCGGGGGGATCACCCTGCTCCCCAAGACTTCCCATAGCTCCTCCCTGAATTCCAAGTGCTTCGATACATCTCTCTCGAAGAACAACACTTTGAAGCTTTCGAGTAGGAACCGAATACCATTGCATTCTTCAAATGTTTTCCTAATACATCCCAAGCTTGTCGAGTAAAATATAATGGATTTGCTTCCTCCTGGTGGGCACCTTTCTTCAAAGTCTAATAAAGATGAATGTTCTTGATGATTGTCCACTTTCACTTGGAGCCCACCATTTGTTTCCATGGTAGTCATGTCTGATAAGCATGGAGCCTCTAAATCATGTTTGGTAGCCAATATTTCTTCGGACCTTATGAAGGGATCGGGATGGTTTCGGTCGCTGACACTAATTTCGAGTTCACTTGGATCTCTAAAATGTTGGGATATGATGCTACATTCTACTACTGGTGGGGTTTCACATATTTGGCTACAAGGGTTTTCAGTGGGGCCTGACAGAAGCGAGAGGTCTTGTTTTAAAGAGTAAATGGAAGGAAAGAACTTCATCTTCTTCAGCAGCCTTCCTTTCATTTCCTTGATCTATTTCTTCTTGTTATCACATCATTAAATAGAAGTTGGGTGATATTTGACATCTTATTATCAGGAAGGATAGAAGAAAGATCTGAACTCACATTTCACTTCTGGATTCCAATAGCTAGAAAGTCGAGTCTGGAAGAAAAGAAAAAAAAAAGCTGTTAGTTTGCTTTCAGAGTTCTGCCTAAATTTATGACTTTAGCGTGGGACATGGGTTGCCATTGTTTAGAGAGGCAACTCTGTCTAACTCACACTTGACCCATCACCAACAATGGTCCATCAACCATGGTATGAACTAATCAAATAAGAAGAAAGAACCAGACCCCACCTATTAGGTATACTCACGAGAAAAGCAGCAAAGTGAAAAGAGTGAATACCAGAGGCTAAACAAACCTTCTGTGCTTTCGCTCTTTCGACAAGCTTCATGATTCGTCGGGGGACAAATGCATGCCTATACTGTTCAAAGTCCCTCTCCCATCGGTTCTACCGTACTGTCTTGTAATCCTCAGCTCAGTGAAGAACAATACTTTTTATGGTAATTATGCATACAAGAGACTAGAAAACATCAATGATAAAAAGTATATCAATATCAAGTTCAAGAATTCAAACATCTATAGGAAGATATTTCTTTACATCAATGATCACATTAAAACAAGAATAAATATAAATGTTGAATCTTTCCTCAAATAGTAAAACTTATTTTAATTAATGTCGTGCGGAGCGAGGTAATCCATTGTTTCTCTTTCCACTTTGTATCTACAAAGAACAAAGTAATCTGTGTGATTTTCACTACTCATTCTCGTGAATAAGTTCAAAGGGTCAGTACAAAGTTGTCTGCCCATGGAACAAACAAAGATCTAAAAGTGCCAAAGCTCTAGAAGGGTTCGTATATACAAAGATCAGTTGCTGAATAATCAGTAAATAAAAGCTCTTAGCTATCTCCAAATAGTGATGCAATCACCAATTCATAATCAAAGCCAAAGCATGCAAGTTTGTTATCATCTCCATCAACAATGGTTATCTGCATATGATATGAACCCTGCAAGGAAAAGGAAATAGTTAGAGTGCATGATAATTAAAAGAAAAAGAAATCAATGATTGTGTGTATACATCTAAGATTTTTCGTCCCAATCAATCCGAGTTCCTTTGGATAATAAGGTCAACATGAACCTCTTCAGATGAGAAATCCTCTTTTTTTTTTTCTATAACTGGGAGTTGGCGTTCTGAAGTAGAAAATGGAAGGTAGAGCACGTATCCTTTGAAGACGACAATTGACTTTACTAGATCAATTACGGCACGATAAAACCTTGTTCCTTTTAACTTATTTTAAGGAAAAAAAAAACCAGAAACTACAAGAAAAATACAAACACAAGTGGTAAACATGAAATGAGTAGTAACTTACCGGTAAAAAGAATGCCAGAGGCGTTTGCAATGGAGCGAGTGCAAAATCACCAAACGAGTAAGGGCAGGACGTCTCAACACAAATGTCGTGGCTGTCCCTATACATGTGCCACCCAAAATATGAAATGTCAACAACCATTTTTCCTGCAATGATTGGCTTACCTGTGCCATGTGTACAAGGTTATTGTCATTAGCTGAAGTTCGAACCAAGGTTCAAAGGATAATATACGAGTAGTAAGGCACGATTGTCTACAGAGGAAGGGAAGGCGGTACACCTTTATCTCTCAAGGGATAAATAAAGATTGGACGGAAGTTGATAATTAGAAGTAAAACAAAAGTGATAGAGAAGTATCCTCTAATCCTGCTTATTCATAAAAAGATGGGAATCTGAAGGTTAACCGTGCTAAGCAAAGTCAACTTTCAAACAATTTGTCATCTTTTAGCTGAACCTCATAATCGGTCCAAATGGAAACACCGACGCAAGTTTATGACCATTTAAAGATCCAGCTGCTCATTAGTGAGATTCAACTCCTTATACTAGAAAATAGCTAACTAAACATACATGATTGACTCAATTTGTATTCAATTTTCACCTTTGAATGATAGTTTAGCCCAAGTATATGAAGTAACCTCAATCTAACTCATGAACTCATTATTCTCCATAGAAGAAAAGGAAGGTAGTTAGTCCTCAAGAATAGAAATTGTTAAAGCAGATGTAAGCCCTGTAACTAGGAAAAGAAGTTCAGTGATTCGATTATTGAATCTTCAGGTAATTTAGGAGTACCTATAATTAGATTGAAGGTCATAGTTATTGGGCGACCCCTAACTATGGGGCTGGGAGATATCTGAACTCCTTTCACCATGATATCATACTTAGCTGTCTCATCTGCATCAGTGAACGAATAGATATCAATTATATGTATATCAACACAAAATGGCATTCCATTACAGCAAAGTTCAATCAAACTAAAGAACAAAAGGCAGACTTCAATAGACACAAGGGGTGCCACCATGCCGGTGTTAAAGTGTGAGATCTCACATCGATTGGAGAGAAGAACGACATGGATTGGATTGGAGAGGGGAACGAGTGCCAGCGAGGATGCTAGGCCTTGAAGGGAGGTGGATTATGAGATCCCACATAGGTTGGGGAGGAGAACGAAGCATTCTTTATAACGATATAGAAATCTCTCCCTAACAGCTGCGTTTTAAAAACCTGGAGGGAAAGCCCAAATAGAACAATATCCCCAAATAGAACAATATCTACTAGCGGTGGGCTTGGGCTATAACAAAATGGTATCAGAGCCAGACACCTAGCGGTGTGCCAGCGAGAACGTTGGACCTGAAGAGGGTGGATTGTGAGATCTCACACTGATTGGAGAGGAGAACGACATCGATTGATTGAAGAGGGAAATGAGTGCCAACGAGAATGCTAGGCCCTGAAGGGAGGTGAATTGCACATCGGTTGGGGAAGAGAACAAAACATTCTTTATAAGGGTGTGGAAACCTCTCCCTTTAAAAACTTTGAGGGGATAAAAATCTTGAGGGGAATCTTGAAGGGAAAGCCAAAAAAAGAGGACAATATCTAATCCGCGGGTGAGATCGTTTGGATTTACAAGTTTTTAGGCTCAAAGCTCTTGAGTTATTAGTGAGGTGGGGGCCATAAGCATATTGTTGGAAGTGGATCCTAACCATCCAATCTAATTATCTCACATATCCACCATCAGTTCTTCACTATTCACCTTCAAACACATCAAACTGAGGCTCTATAATAATGATGAACAGTCCCAAACAGTACCAGAAATGCAACTATGATATAAGAAACAATGTTTAAAATAAGAGATCAAAAAACAAAAAGTATTCAACAGTACAGTGACATTGACTTTTAAGCATTCAAATTCAGAGTCAGAACCTTATTTAATCGAACGCACAAAACCTAAATTCAGAAAGAAACGCAAAAATTCTCGAAAATGATCGAAGTCCTTCAAACATCAAAGAATCGGAGTATAAGCATTGGAATCAGAAAGCACAAACCGCAGAGTTGGACTCGAGTGGCGAAGGAGAACTGTAAAACGAAACACAACCAGAGAAGCAATGTGAAAATCAGCTTCATCGGAGAAGTGGGTTCCATGGAATTGCTCTTTCTCGAACTCTGTAACAAGAAATTTGAAGAAAACCTTCAAAATTTCTAATAATAAAGCTCTGAGGTTGCGAGAAAAACGGGGATTTCGGTGGAGTGGAATGGAAAACACTGCAAGATACGCTTTCCATTGGCGAGTGAGAAGAATCCCTTCTTCATCGGGGATCGGCAGATGGGATGAGAGAAAATTTCCTAAAAGAAATGAAAAGAAGTTGAGAAGAAGCCAAGCAAGCTGTTTGTTAACAAACAAATCTCTATGGACACTCCATTTTCTTTTTCTTAAATTAAATTTATAAAATTATTTTTATTAATTTAGTCAACTTTCTAAAAGTAATGAACTGAAAAAATAAATTTTAAAAACATATGAAAAGCAACTTCAAGAATTGAAAATGAAGTCTTAGAACTTCAATTATATTATATGGAATTTATATCATTTTTACTTAATTAATAACAATAACAATTTAATTAATTTTTATTCATTTAATTAATTATAATCTAAAATTTATTTTAATAGTGATTTAAAATATATTAACTTTTGGCATGCTCGATCTATCAATTGCCCCGGTCAACTCTTCGAGATTTTAAATACTCCCTCTGTGAATAGAAGGTATGACAAACCCTTTATAACCAAAGGTTAACGTAAAAAAACGTTCACTCGACGTTCGAGGATCTAAATAAGCAAAATATACACGTTACAGAATCCAACAACTATCTGAAACGTTGGCAGGGCCAACACAGTGACAAAGAGTACAAAAGATGACTTTCTAGAAACATGGTGAGAAACGAACAAAAAGGCGGTGAGAATCACGATAATTTGTTTAAGAAGTGAATTGGATTGATCTTGTATGTGTCAGACTGAATTGATGGTGGATCCTATCGATTGATTTTGTTCGTACAATTTTAGTAAATATTATGTTTTCGATTTGTTAAAAGTAATACCGATGTTTGAATAATTAAGTTAGGTTGGTATGGCTTTGGAAACCATAAATTTCTTAGAAAATAATGAAAATCTATGAAAATACTTTTAAAACTTTTAAATTTACCATTTGGCTAAGCCTAAAATATAAAATTATTACAACTAAAAGTATTGATATGGAATATATGTATTTATTTACAGGTCAGATTTTTCAACTCCTTCCGTTGGCCAACGGAACCACCTCCGCCAGAGGGGTGGAAAGCGGCGTCGGGACGGGCGAAGTTCTGCAAACAGGGCAGCTAGGGTTCAGCCTTAACCACGGATCGATACAGCCGCTGTGAAACATATGACCACAATCCGGCAACAACCGTAGAACATCCTCGTTTTTATAGTCCCCCAAACAAATCGAACAACCGCTCGCGGCGGCAGACTCCATTTTTCCCTCCAATTTCTTTTCCGAGTACAGAATCTTCGGATATTCATTAATGGCCTCATCTTCGAGCCCCGGTCCGAAATCGACGATGACATCCCGCCGTTCCCCCGGCCGACGACGGCGATTCAGCTGCGGAACGGTGGTTCTGGTGCATAAATAGGTGGCGATTGTTACGGTTGTGAGAAGGAAAAGAACTCCGACTGAAATTCCGACTATGTAGGGGAAAGTGCCGACGTTGCCGGAGGCATCTGATCCGCCGGAGCCTGTGGAGTTGTTCATGGGGCAAGAGAAAAGGCGTTGACTGTGAGAAGTAGAAGGGGATTTTTGGTTTCTGCCATGGATGGAGAAGGGAAGAAATATAAATGGATAGGGCCACACAATAATTTTTTTTAATTTTTTTTTTATAACGACAAATTTAATTTCACAATTATCATATAATTTTTGTTTGTTCCCAATTTTAAATCATTGACACGTAGTTTTATTCATTAAAATATTATATCAATTTCTTCGTTTCAACTAAAATATTATTATTTAGTCATTTTTATTAGCTAGTTCGTGTGTACCTTTAGTTTGCCTAATTTTATGTAAATAATTTTTTTTTAATATTTCTAAAATTATATAATTTTAAAATGACGTTAACGTGGTTGACAATGAACGAGAGTAACACTGTGTTGTTCATAATGTTGACGATATGGACGATATAGAATAATTTTTTATTAAAAATTAAATTTAATCTAATTTTATTGGTT